TGCCGGCCCTGCAGTGCTAAGATGTTAAAGCGGGCACTACCACTGTAAGAACATTCTGAATTTACTAGATTTATAGATTTACAGTTTATGTGACCTGGATTCAATGCTTTTGAGTGTAACATAGATATGTTAGACTAATTAATAATGTAATTTAAAATATGATAGTTGTTATGGCTGTATGGATGAACTTACTGTGCCGACCCTCCGTAAGATCAAGGGTAGTTTGATGATGGACTTATTCCTATCAGAAAAGTCAAATTAATTTATTCAAATACGTTCTTTTTAAGTTTATTCAGTAAAAATTCTCTTTCGATGAATTAAATCTATCGAAGCGAAAAAATACGTTGAAAAAGTGTGTTCTTGTTGGTTTTGTCCGATAGCGAGCCATTTCGGTGTGGTTTTTGCTGTTGGAATTTCCTATTGTCAAGATCAAAACGAAGGTACTCTGTGATTCGGTCCGTGAAATTCACTAAAGAATCTTTTATCGGATTTCTGCTAAGTCAAGCGGGGCAAAACATTTGTACTGCCTTGGGTGTTTGGAAATTATTTGTAATGGAGGAATTCCACCACAAATGCTTAGAGAGTGTAATATAAATAGGAACAGGCTTGAGAGAAATTGTTTTATGTTGGCCAAATGACGGGACTCGACGCAGGTCCAAATTCTTAGATGGAATATTTTGTGTGCAAAAGATATCTGTTTTAATAAGTTTTATATTAACATTTCTAAGGATAAAATTAGTATTTTCACGGAGCTGATTTCACATCATCATCATCATCATCATTATCATCATCATCATCATCATCATCACCATCAGCCTTCATCATGTGGTATCTTGTTGGACATAGACTAACACAGCGTCAAGAATGTATACTAATATTATAAAGAGGAAAAAAAAATATTTTTGCATGAATTAAAATAATTCAAACACTAATAGCCTGATTTTAAAAATTCTTTCGCTGTTAGAAAGGTAATTTATCTGTAAGTAAGACAGACTATGATTTTATTTTTAATATCACGCGGAGCAAGTCGCGAGCGAGTAGTCATTTACATACCTACAGATGAATTAAGTTATCGTTAAAAAGAAAACGACAATAAATTAGAAGTAGAGGTCTAGGGTGTGAGTCGGCTTCCTGTAGCTACACATGAGGTTTAGAGACGTTAAAGATGCATCAGGAAGACCTAAAATTATGACTAAGTAAGTCATTCCAAATTTTTTATTTATTTATGCGCAAGTTGAAGTAATCTTGGTCCACGTGCACATATGAAATACCTTCAAGGTCTCACGTGAAACGTATTTATAATTCACGTGTAGGAAACTCATGTAAACTGGTTATATTTGCTCTAATAACGAGCCAACAATGGGAAATCCAATTATTGCGTTTCATTCAAGTGAATATTTTAACGAAGAGTTTCGAGTACGGTATCGGATGTGAGCGTGGAAGGTTATTTTATATTAAAAAGACTACTACGTTTTGTTCTCTCTCCGCGTGGATTTCCACTGCACATTTGTAACAAAAGAATATCGTCATCCCTTTCATATTCATTGAAAAAATGGAGATAACAATAAGTATTTGTCGGGATGTTGGTAGTGGATAATTGAAAAAAAGTTTTGTTGTTATTTTTTGAAAACGTGTGTTTTTAAATAACAAAGAACTGTATTCATTGACCAAAAAATCACAAAAAAATAAAATTAACATGTTAACGAAATAAAAAAAATTAATTATTGACCAAAAGGAGATGGCTCAGCTGATGCGGCCTCCAGCTTGTCATTGAAGGCCGCGCTGGCTGGCTTACCAACGTAGATTTTTTTTTACAAGTTATTAGTTATTGATTTGTTAATCAAATAAAGTCTAAGTTACGCAACAATTAATTTACTTACTAATGATAATTATAATTTAGTAATAACTCCCATTTGTTAGGAGTAGCTTCATTAAACTTAATTAACAAAAAAACTTCGAAAATAGCAGTGTTTTTTTTTACAGAAACTTGTAAATGTAGTTTAGATCACAGATAATACAATATTAGACATAACTGGCTAGACTCCTTTCCATTACAAGCCAGTTAGTTCGTTATATTATAAAAAAGAGAAAAATTCGTAACAGTTTCCAATATCCCGTTACACTGAAACAACAAATATTGAAACAGGTTGGTTTTGTGGCAATAAAGCTCTCAGAAAAAAGCAATTTCATCGCCTACACGACAACAGTGATGCAAAAGTCATTCTTTTTTTAAACTCTCTTTATACATTTTTTATGAGGCAAAAATTGTCAAAATCATCACAATTTTTAAAAAGCATTTGCCCGCGACTTCGTCAGAGTGTAATTTAAAAAAAAAAACAAATTGATTATTGAGCTTATGTGTCATTCCAGACTATCCTCTACATCTATACCAAATTTCATAGAAATCCGTTCAGCCGTTTAGGCTACAAACTCTAACAAACATCCACCCGTCCATCTAAACTTTCGCATTCATGATATAATATTAGTATGAAGTACGAATGATGATTAATTAGACTGATCACAATCTGATTAAATTCAAAATCTATCGGTGACATAATAGTCAGTAAGGGAAATGACCACTACCTTCTATCAGGCATGCAGTCCGCTTTCTACAAGGATAGTGTCGTTGACATTATCGTGTCTGCGGGTATCCGAAAGGCGTTTGCTATTAAATAGCAGTTTTAAGATAAGAGCCACTTCCATTTAATCTTATGACCTACATAGAGTATTATTTGAGGTCAGTTTTACGCATCAAATACGCCTATATCTAGTTACATATGTTATTAAAAAAAATCTGACCCTTTTTCTTTTCTCTTCATAACTTCCTTCGACTTAATTCCATTTTCATTAGTCACTTCTACTCTAATTAGTTACTTTTCTCCACAACTATTCAATATTTTTTATGACATATCTACTCAGACTCACTCTACAAGACTTTCAAATAAAAATGTAACTTTCGAGTTACCATACCTTGAAAGGCAATTTCCCAAAGGTGCAGGCATATAAATCACTATACCGTTTATTGGCAAGCAAATTTTCCACGCAGCAAAAACCCGCAAACTTCACAACTACAGTTTTAAAACTGGCAACTCGTGACCCAATTCAGAACTCTCATATTACGTGACTGGAACCGTACGCTAAGGAACGATTTGGTTGATGCTTGTAACACAGTCCAAAGCTAAGCAAATGCGAAACGGAAATTTTTCTTAGGATAAAATGACTTTTCTAAGGGTGACGTCTATAGACATCCGCATATGAGTTAACGGCCTTAAAATAGTGTTAAGTGACAGTTGTCCTTCAGTGCCTACTCTATGGTCAAAATATAAATCTGTGAATAATCGAGGACTGACTCGAAGTACCTCAGTTGTGTTTCGTGGTTGTGTGCTAACGGCAAACTTCATTCAAATTACTTGAACCATTTTTCTTGAATTTGAGACCGTTGTGACCTAATTATATTTGAAGACTAACAATGCTTTTGCGGTGGACGAAAATAATAGTCATTGTTGTAAGAAAATGAGCCCTCAATTCTTTTCATGGGAGTTTTTAAGAATAGAGAGTTAAGAATGACTTGAAAGATTCACTTAGGGTTTTGATTTTCAAAATATGACCCGTTTTGTGAACATTTACATGATTCGGAAACTGGATATTATTACGAGGGTAATTCATTTCTGTAATAAATTGTAATAAGAACATAATAAATAACCATCAGAGAGGAAAAACCTTGGAAAATTAGATAAATGAATGAACTTTATCACATTCAATTAGGTGACAGGTTATATTGCACAGAGATATTGCGGCTGTCAGGAATATCATCTAATATTATTATGATAGAAAACATAACTAAGATGTTATCTTGTCTATACTATTATAATAAAGCGTAAACACACACTTCTTTGTTGCCTAAGATGTCAGCAATTACAGCATATTTTTGAATAATTCTTTTTTTAATAAAAAACCCTACACTTACGTCACGCTTTAGGCTTTACATTTTCACGCCATTAAACTTAAGGGGAAATGATTTTAGATGAAAACCCTAATGTGGGAAAGAGACCATAAGCTGCCAACCTCAAGGAAACAAGATTACCAAGGTTTGTTATGTCATGTCAGTTTGACATTTGCTATTGATAATTTGACAAATGTAAACAATAAAACAAAGTTTTTATAATTTCATGCATGTGAAGCCGCACGGTAACAGCTAGTTAATATAATAAAAGCGAAAATTTAGATCGATAAATGTTAGAGTTTGTAGCCTAAACTGCTAGACGGATATCGATGAAATTTGGTATAGACGTAGAGGATAGTCTGGGAGAACACGTAGCGATACTATGATTTTTGGAGGTCTTAAAGACGGGTTTTACACAAGAGTTTCAAACACCAGGTTACTTAATGTTTTGTATTATGCTTGTGTTATATGTTATTATTTTTGTCTATGGGCTTTGTTTGACGAATACGTTATATCAGATCTAGTAGACGATGCTTTATTGTCTGTGGACCAATTTGTTTATCAATATTTGTTCGCGATGAAATGTTATTTCAAATATTTATTGTTAAAATCCTTTGCTGAACACAATCATTGAAATACAAATAGTTTCGTTACGAATTTCTACATACACAAATACTAATCAATTATTATTTGCAACTAACATTGACTACATCTTGTTCGAGACTGCTGTAGACTTTGTGTAGTACAATATGATGGGATTTGCATGCAAATAGGAATGCAAATTCTAAAGATGTCCCGTCAAAGCTACACGTGTCTTGTCCGTTCATATGCGAAGCTCACTTGATACAATTTCATCGTTTACATGCATGTGACATTTATATAAACTAGTGGCATAGAAAATATCAATCAACGATGTCAATATTACCAATTATATATATGAAAGATTGAATGGATGTTTGTTAGAGTTCACCCTGAACGGCTGAACGGATCTCAATTAAATATAGAATAGACGTAGAGAGTTCTGGAAGAACGAATTGGCTGATGTTTTTTGTTTTTTAATCATGCAAACGTAGTCGCAGACGACCGCTAGTTTATGATAAAATTTTACTTCGATGTCGCAGTGATCCAAAGTGAGCCCACTTCGTCTGTTCTATATCTTCTTTTGCCAGTTGACCGCTTGTAGCTCCTATATGTCCAAGTTTTTTGGCCTTATTTTTGACTGACTTCCCAAAAGAAGGAGGTACTCAATTCGTCTGTGTATGTATTTTTTAATTTAAAGCTTGTGGATTAAAGAGAATTGAGTAATATTTTTTATCTGATGTTAAGTGATGTTTTTAAATGAATCATGAACATACATCCATTAATTTCGTTTTACAAAATACTTTACTAAAAGTTTGTTATATATTTTTACTGATAGAGAAAAGATGAATTAAATAACTTAATTTAGCCGCCCACTTACGGTACGTTTTTACGTTGGTATTTATAACATTTTTTTAAGAATTGAAGCGATTTGAATTAATAAAATCAATTTGTATGTTATAAAATAATTCCATTGGTTACTGAGGGAAACTGTGTGATGTTCGAGTAGTTGTAATATATTCAATAGTAAAATAACTCAAACTAACATATGGTTACCCATATTTTCGTTCAACAATAAAATTTACACGTTAAACAAGAAAACAAAACAAAAAACAAAGGAACCTCGATCAAATTTGTCAAATTTTCGTTGTTTCTCAATATGTAATTCATACAATTTCACGATACAACATATTGGAAACAATGTCACAACAAGAATAGAATACCTCACAGATAAAGGTTTACGTAATCAAAATGCAAATTCCCATGACATATTTCGTGATGGTAAATTAGAAAAGTTTGATTGAAGGTAAGCTTTAGGAATTCATTAGCGGCATGTAGATAAAGTTTACACTGAAACGTGCCGTGAAGCGATTTCAAAACTTTACTGCAATAACACGGAACACATGTGCTAGGGTTGTAGTTAATTGAACATTAATTATTCAATAAAATAATTGTTGTGATTCGCTAATTTGCAATTTATTTAATTAAATTCCTAAGCTTGATAAAAAAAATACTTCGTAAAAATACTTGATTTTCTCCGCATCCGCGGACATGGACATACTTATTATTGCGAGGCTAAATTTATTGGATTTTGGAGATTCCAGCCAACAGCAAATGATTGAAAAAATATTTATATCGATATCGATAAAGTTCATATGGGATTACATCCCTATCGGGCGTTAAAAACACTGACAATTCTTCTTTGCAAATTTTCGAGCTAGGTCCTCGAATTGGCAATTATTATAACTAACTGATAAAAACAGAATTATTATCATTACAATTACAGTTTAAATTTATTTCTTCTTATGTATTTTATAGGATCCTTGATCTATTTATTATTCGGATACAGCGCAATAAAATAGAGTAATACTATAAGCTCCTGCATTGTTGAAAAGTTGTTTAAACAGAAGATTCAGTACTGAATTTCACGGCACATTAAACTAAACACCGATGTACGAAGAATGGACGTGATATATTATGCAACTCACGACTTGTAAGGTAATATTACTGTAACCTTAGATTGTAAAATTACTTTCTTTTTAACAGGAAATATGTGCATTTCCCTCTATATTATCTAATTATCCAACATCCAATGAATGATAAAATTTAAAATGATTATTTCATAGTTGCAGCGATTTCAAAAACAAGTTCAACTTTTAATAAAGTAAAAAAAATCAACATTCACATAGTTATACTTTTTTCCAATTTATGACAGTATCTAAAAACTTAGCGCTTTACCTTAAACCCATGTCTTCATAATTAAATGGTAGGAATATGCCACATCCAATTTTCTGTACTGATTCACTCTTTCTAACATCCTAAAGGTTTTGTAGCGATTTGCCTTTGTATTCAATAGCATTAAAAAGACGTCGCAAATACGCAAGAGAGACATTTGGAAAACAAGATGTTAAGGTGGATGGAAAAGTATTACGTAAAATGCGATTTGCGTATTTTAGTCAAGATAAATATATAAGAAAAGTAAAATTACTTTGTTTATAAAATACAAACTAAAAAAGTTAACTGCTGATTACATTCTTAACAAGAAAATTTAAAAGCTAAAACCGTTGTTGTTGGTTTATGCCTGAAGTAATACTTACAGATAGATAGATAACTTAAAATAACTATGTCAAGTATTATAGCTTTAAAAAAAAATTAGCTTAACTCATTTGAAACGTTTATCTTCTCAAGAAGGTCAAATTCCAGACAACAGTCTAAATGGACTGTTATTAAAATGTAAAAACACGATGAGAAAAATGTATAGAATACACAAAACTGACATGACATCGTGTATGCACTCGTTTCGGAATGCTGGACGGCTTTTGTAATGAAGAAAAATTATAAACACCTTGTACAAGTTCAATTATTGCATCGTTGGATCGTTTAATTTCGCAGACGCATTGCTAAGTTCCGTTCAATGAATGGAACGAACGAAACCGGTCGTCGGTCAGTTAATCTCATTCATTTGCGGTTAAGCGGTTATACAAAGGAATTCATATCATCTCGGTTAACATTAACGGTATTATCAACATTTAAAATAGCAAAACAAAAGTGTTCTGAGAATTATTAGTTAGTTGATGAAACTTGTGCGTTACTTATTACCCAGAACAATTAGGCAACAACTAGTGTACAAGTGAAATACTCTTTGTTGAAACAGTCTTTGTTCTGTGAGACAATTTTGTTTTTCTTATTAGCTGGTACTCGACCTTTTCAAAGATCTACAATCGGGGAATCTGGCGGTGTTAGACATACAAAGTTACAATGCTTTTTTTTTATAACATAAGGTGACATACAAGCAAACGTTTACCTGAAATCGCCATAATAGCTAAGCGATCGCTGCCCATAGACATCCGCAATTGGAGATGCGTTACCTACCCTTATACGACGAAGGAGGAGACGCACATAAAGAGGATATTTCCCCTTCTTATGCATCTCCTCCACTGTCAAATCCACTTCCCCTTCCCAACCTCTCCTTATAAGAAAAGGGTGGTATAGAGAAAGGCACTCCGGCACCGCACTCATCAGACAAAACACGGAATTGCTTCCATTTCACGTCTGTCTTCAGTGTGGTCGTGGTATTACACCGGGCGTACCGGCCCTGCAGTGCTAAGATGTTAAAGCGGGCACTACCACTGTTAAACGTTTTGTACACATTGAGTGGAACAACCAATAAATCGCAGCTTATAAATGTGTCAGAACGAAAAACAATGTTGGTCAACCAATGGTCAATTGATTTTTATTATTATCCAATCGCAAATCACAGCTACCTAATTAGTTATTTATATGAGGCGAAGTTTGTCTCATTGCAAGGAGGAAATAAATTTTACTAAAAGTTTCTTCGACTGTACTTTATATTGACTCAAATAGCCCTTTGTAAACTGAACCAAGTTCCGATACGTGCTTTTATAACAAAACAATAGATCCTCTTAAGTACGTACTAATTGGATTCCTTAAGCTCCTTTAAGAAGTACACGATTAATTTCTAAAATTATAAATAGTTATTCACCGTTACAAGTTGTTTTGAAATAGAAATTGGCTGTTGCTATGTCATCATCATCATCATCATATACTTGCCTTTATCCCTTATGGAGTCGGCACAGTATGTGCTTCTCTTCTATACATTTCTATCAGCCGTCATATCTGAATCCACTCCCTTCTTAAGCATATCGTCTTTCGCACAATCCATCTATACTTTCTTCGGTCTGGCTGTTGCTTTATGACGGATCCTAATGATTTTTATCGGACTTGATTTCCATTTTAGAAAACAAGACAATTAATAATGAATTCGCTGAAATAGTGAAGAGATAGCCATAGATATCCGCAATAGAAGATATACAGAACAAAGTTAAGTAACAGTTAAAATAGGTTTTAGTGGTTTAATAAATTTTAATGAATGTTATATCATACGTCACTTTCTGATTTCTCGCCAAATTAACTTCTAATTTAATATCAATATATCATAATTTTAACACGAAACTTGAAGTTTCCAGACGTTAAAAGTCATTTCTGTATTCCACGAATCATCAATCAACATGCACGGATCTATAAATCCTTTAGCCCGAGCTTACTTCACAAACAAGCTATCACGCCAAATCTGCGAACGGCGAAGTCGATATAAATCTTATTTTCATTCGCAATGTTCGACACTTGGTGGATTTATTGCGTGCTAAACACGGGCTCACCTAATAAATTATTCCGAAAAACAATGTTTGGATTTAAATTTAAACGACATGGGTTTTACATTTTAATTGCATAGGTATTGTTAAATTATACTAAACTTTTGTAAAACAAATCTCGTGCTTGTAAAATGCATATTAGGTCAAAATAAAAACGTGATATTTCCGTGTATTGAATAATACAAGACCGTGACGTATCATCCAGCATCCATAATATTACGTAATTATTCCAATTTAACACGTTCCCTACCTTTATCTGTATTTTCCATTGTTGCGATACGAGGCTTTTTAAACCTTTTTCCAACCAGATGTGGCTCCACGAGGCTTATTAAACCCCAGGGTAGGAGATTAAAATCCGTTTTTTGGTGCCAAATAGACAAATGTAGGGTTTTTCGATTATTATTTACTTTAAATGGCTGTTGCCCGCGCCTTCGTCCACGCAATATAACTATAAAAAGTAGCCTATAATATGCCCGTCTATGTCAGCTACCCTTCAGCGAAAGACCGGTCGAAATCGGCCCAGCCGTTTTGGAGGTTTCCCGGAACAAACGCGGCTTGTGTACAGACAGACAGACAAAGAAAATAAATGGTTTTCGTTATCAGCAACGCACATCATGTTCCCGAAATCTGAAAATTTTCTTTTGATATAACAAATAGAAACTTCAATTTTATTATATGTACAGATGTGTTGATTTCTACCTTTTTTAATTCATTTTTCCTTTTTTTACTGAGTTGTAGTAACTATATCTTATGTCTATTAATATCTCCAATCCCAGCGAGATCTTGCTACAAGACGTTATTACTAAACCAATTAGAGCGGCGTCGTCAGGCCATGTTTCTTTTAACTCTGCAATAAGAAACTGACCTTTGACATCGTTAAGCTTTAGCGTCTTTTCAATTTTCTAAATGTATTAAATAAAATAGTGTCATGAAGAGAAAAATATTTAAAGATTGTTAATTTTATAATTTAAGTGACTGTTGCTCGCGACTTCGTCCATGTGTAATTAAATATAGTCTATATCTCCACGATAACGCAGTTTTTTAATGGTATAGGAGTTTATAAATTAATACAGAAAAAAGAAGTGACTATCGTTTTCTATTGTTAGTTTCTCTTAGTTACCTAAAACAAGTACAAAATATTATTATCTTTAATCTCTTATGTATAAAAATAGATGAGAATATTATATAAGTAACTATAACTTGTCGCTCGCGATTCTTGTTGGAATTAAAAAGAACAACAACAAAAGTTACTATGTGTTTCAGACTATCTTATACATCTACGACAATCCGTTCAACCGTTTAGGCCACAAACAAACATCCTTCCAATGTACATGAACAATAACACCACCAACTCTTCAGTTTCGAGTTCGTCTCCGCGGACGCACAGCCTCCCCCCGCACTCCCACGCCCCCCGCCCTGTCGAATCGCGCGTTGCGGGCTATGGCACGCAACGACCGTCGCGTCGCGATAGCGAATAAAGCCGGCAACCACACACCCAGAAGAAGGACCCCCGAAAGGTTTGAAACAGGTCGGTGCCTACACCAAAAATTCCCACGTGAGTTTTAGCCGTGTTATAAATTATATAAAACATCCTTCCATTTAAACTTTCGCATTATAAAGTAAGATACCGATAGTAGAGATACACATAAACACATGAAATAAAAATAATATTTATTCGTGCCTACTGGGTCGTGACGTAACAAATTATACAATGAGCAGTGTGCGTACAGCGAATGATGAGATCTCATTTACTGCTTTGTACTGACTGACGATGGACATTATTTTGATTGATGTGCATTACATGATATTTGTTCATGAATACAATTATTTATGAATGAGTGAAGACGAAGCAAATGACTGTTTATCACACTTCTTTATCCTAATGGTTTGTATGGACGTCCCTTTGTACTTTGTAGAGAATTGTTCTTAAATGAGATGGAGTTCACACCTTTACGTCACCACAACCGTTGTGCGATTGTCGATTGTTTCGCAACCAAATGAACTGTTTAGTTGCACAACAAAAAATTGGGTATTTTTATATTTGTGACTTAATTGCTACTGTTTGCCTAGAAGAGGCATTTACAGATACACCGGACTTGAGGTGGCCGAGCGCTGAAGGCGCTTACCCTAAACCTCGTTTATGAGTAACTAAGCTCAAGGGCTCCCTCAGGAGCCGAGGCTCGGGCTGTTACTTCATTATTATTTCTGGATTGGGAAAAATATAAAAATCCAGTAGTGTGCGCACCTCTTTATAAGGTGTGTGATTGTGTAGTATCAGATGTTTGCAGGTTCTTGCTGTTTAATTAATCTGTTTTAATTTCATTA